TTTTTTTTTTTTTTTTTTTTGGTGATCTTATTTTACTTTATATTTTTTAGTATTGTCTACTTGTAGGAGTAGTTAAAAATATTTTATTATGATTGAGGGAAGAATTTAGGGTTTTTTAAAGGGTTGTGGTTTGACGTAGCATGAGTATTAGTTGAGGTGGGAATTAAAATAATGATAATTACTCGGGTTTGGGTTTTGAATCTATTGTTCGTCGATCTTTATGTCATGTTTTTTAAATATGGTAAATGGGTTAGGAGTGATTTTGAACGTTAGGGTTTAAAAGTTGTAGTATGTGTCAATTATGGTTGAGTTATGTTCATTTTTAACTGTGTTTATATCATGTTATGTGAAAGCTGATGTTTAGGTTTGACGTTTTTAAAAGCCATCATTTTTTGGTCTAATTTTGAATATTTTGTCAAATTCTCAACTAATATTAGAGAAATTGTGACGGGGAAGTAAATGAGAGGTACATGAATGAACTGAGATCACATTTGAATGAGAGCTATCATGAAAATAGGATGATTAAGAAAAACTTAAAAGAATTGAAAATTACTGTTTAAATCAACAAGACCCACCTTCCTTTTCAGTGGCTCAATTTTAAAAGCTCTAAGCAATTCTAGGTTGGGTGACCTCTTTAAAATGACGACAAAACATGCTAGAATAACTCGAGTTGGTATGTAGGGGTAGTTTTTACTCTTGTAATGTGACCATGTTGCACGGGAATGTCAGGGTCATCAATTGTCGAGCCTTATCCAAATTTTGTGCTTGGGGCATTACAAAAATTCTCGATCCAACTATCATACATTTAGTTGAGCTGTATACAATTATTTAGAAGACTTTTTCTTTTCGAAAAAAAAAAAACATTAATTTTCAAACTAAAGTACAAATCTTATTTCAATCAAAGAGACCAACTCGAAGGCCTTTTTCGTTTTCACACACTTTGAATACTAAAAATCTAATTTGAATGCCAACACGAGCATAATTCAGCAATAACGAGTACGTACGGGAGGAAAGTCTTGATTTAATTAAATCTTCAAATTTCTATACCCACATTTATTATACCAAAGAAAATTCCTTTTAAATAAACAAATTCAATTTTTTCAATAGGATAAATAAAAAAAAATCAATCCCTTGTGAGTGTTCATTCAAAAGACTTACAATTATCAACACGTTCCAGATTATTAATTAATATTAAAAATTGGAAAAATTAATATATTTTAAAAAGTTAAACTATTTGACTAAAATACGCGTAACGTATAAATATATACATATATATATATATATATATATATATATATATATATATATTTATTTATTTATTTGTCTTTTTAGTGTGGCTGGTAAAAGCACACGAGGGAGAAACCTAATTGGTCCAAAAATAATAATCAATTTCCCACTATGGTTTTAGTGGTAAATAAAAGCAGCCAAAAAAAAAAAAAAAAAAAAGGAAAAATCAAAACGGCGTCGTAATAAGAACGATCCAGGAAACTGGCTGCTACTGAAGTAGGACGGTTCCAAGTGGCTTCGTGGCACGTGGGGGTTATTATTTAGTTATAAACTCATTAAATTGATTTATTTATTATTATTTTTTGGAAATTAATAACAATAAGGTTTATTGAATAAGGACCCATTTGGATTAAATCGTTAATTTTAATGTTAGATGTGACATTAAACTTATATAATGTGATCCACACCTAACTTAGGATTAATTTTCCAATTAATCCAACTTTATAGTAAACAACAAATCATTACTCATATTCATGTTTTATATGCTTCGTAATTATTATTTTTAAAGTATAAAATAAAATAAGTTGAAAGGATTATAATTTATTTAGTTAATTTTTTATTATAATTAATAATTAGATATATCTAAAATACGTATTAAAATAAACCTTTAATTCTCTCTTTCTTTTAATTAAAAAAAAAATTAAAGATTCTCTTCTTTAATCATTCCTAATTTGCTCCTGCATTCAATTTTGGTTTAATTACTTTATTATTATTTTAATATTACAAGAAATTTAATATTAATAATAAAGTTATTTGAAATAATGAAAAGATAAATTATTGAGTAATTTAAGGTGGCTAATGTTTTTATTTATTTATTTTGATGGCTAAGATATTATAATACGTGGGCCATTATAAATAGAAACAACAGAGACTCCATGACCTAGAGGACATGGCCCACAAATAAATAAATAAATAAAGTACTGTCGGCCTCTTTGTAATATTTTTTTTAATAATTATATATTATATTTAAAAAGAAAACTCATTTTAATAAAGCTACTATGAATAATAATATATTGTATAGCCGTGGAAACTAAGGTGTAGATATAAATTAATGTTCGTACGAGAATCTAACAATTTATAACTGAATTATTATTTTATTTTCCTCTTAAATATAACAATATTATAATTGGGTTTGAGAAAATATTTTTCTAAAACTAAATACAAAAACTATTATTATTATTATAATAGTATTTGTATTTATATTATATTAGTCAAGTCTATAGATGAACATAGTATCTGAGGTAAGGAATATCCATCAAACCCTACTCGGTTGGAAAAAGCACGAGACGATGCAAATTTGTGTATTTTCATTTCATGGAAGTCCTCGACAGAGGAAAGAAAGAGTTGTTAGGTGATGACACGTTCTGATTCGTTAAAATGACTCATAAAACTCAAATATCAAACATTCACAAGTCACAATGCATCACTATATAGATTATAAAAGTCGAATGTTCTTAATTTTGTACTAAATTTTAAAAGTAGGGTAGGATTAGGTTAACACCCGAATTGACGGGAATTTTTGAATTTTTAAAAAATTCAACCCAACCCAATTGAAAAAAGGAGTTAGATAGTCTGGGTTAGTGTTATCGGGTCATATGAATACTCCTATTGAACGTGTCAAAATAATAAGATGATTAAAATGATTAATTATTTGAAAGTTTAAAGACTAAAAAAGATCGTTTGACTCAAAAAACTCATAAACACACTAGATGAGCGATACTAGTACGAGAGATCGAGTTCGTATTAAGCGTACAAAGTGAAATCAACTCTCCAACGAAGTCAAATGTTCGAATCTTTGATTGGAATTGCAATTTATTAACGAGGGGAAAAGTCAAAGAACCTGGCCAATGATTTAATTAAGTAACATGATTGGTCGGACAGTCAACGTTTTACATTGGTCTTTGGTTTGACTTTGACTAATCATTGGGAAGAAGACAAGAAATATAGAGCACACTAACCTATTGTCCAATTTATTGTCTCTCTCATTGATTCTTTTTTCATCCAAAATTTCCATTCCTTTCACTTAAAATTTCTCCATTTCATTTTCAGCCAAGAAAAAGGACCCACCCATCATTTTCCCCTTTCCACACCTAATAGAAAACGAGAGGTGTTTTAGATCATATATACATACCCGAGTTCTTTAAACATGATTTGAAGTGTTTTTAAGAGTGAAGACTATCTTTACATCCCCACAAATTAACACGAGTTTTTTAAACATGATTTGTCTTAACTCGTGTTTTCTTGTGTGATCCAAGTAAAGGAGAGGTGCATGAATAAACCAATTGTTGAAAATTATTGGAAGTGAATCCCACATCGAAGAGTTTATAAGTGAGGAATACTATCTCCATAGGGGATGAGGCATTTTTGGGAACCCCAAACCAAAGCCACGAGAGCTTATACTCAAAGTAGACAATATCATACCATTGTGGAGATCCGTGATTTCTAACATAGTATCAGAGTCATGCCCTAAACTTAGTCATATCAATAGAATCCTCAAATATCGAACAAAGAATTGTGAGTCTCGAAAGTGTAGTCAAAAGTGACTAAAGTGTCGAACAAAATGTGTACTTTGTTCAAGGACTCTAAAAAAAGGAGTTGAGCCTCAATTAAGGGGAGGCTTATAGTGTACTTTGTTTGAGGGGAGGATTGTTGAGGATTATTGGGAGTGATACTATCTCCATTGTAATAAGGCCTTTTGGGGAAGCCCAAAGCAAAAACAAAGTCATGAGAGCTTATGCTCAAAGTGGACAATGTCATACCATTTTGCGGAGATCCGTGATTTCTAACACCAATACCACATCTGAATGAGAGCGATCTTGAAAATAGAATGATTAAGAAAAGCTTAAAAAGAATTGGAAGTCACTCCATATACCAACAAGGTGCACATTCCTTTGCAGTAGCTCAATCATAGGAACTTATGATTAAACATGTTTTATTTGGAGTAATTTTATGTCAGGTGACATTTTTGAAATTTTTCTAGGATGTATGTGAATGAGGGCAAAATATGTTGAAAGGACTCGTGTTGGTATAGATAGTAACTATCAATATTTTAAAAGTTTATCTTCATGATAACTCTCATTCAAAATGATATCGGTTTATTTACGTACCATCATTTACAAATCTTATTTAAAAAAATAAAAAACAAAAAAACCACGGTTGTTCGTTAAATTTTTAATTTTACTTTTAACAACCTTGTTACATGTAAAATATTCTATGTTTGACATATGTAACAATATTATAATATATTAATTAAAATAAAGACATGATTTGATGTTTAAATCAAACTTTAATGTATATATTATTAATGTGGCCATAAAAGTCTACAAGAGAATATGATATTTGGCATAGTGAACTTTGATTATTTTCTTGACCACAATAATAAAGAAAATTTAAAAAAATATGACATCAATGATGATGTAATAAATAAAACATTATCAAATGTATAAAAATTTATTAGAAATTATGAGGTTAAATGGATAATGCAAAAGATATTTAATTTATTTAGGGGAAGAATGTGAAAACAATTTCTCTTTGAACTCAATAATAATAATTAATGATTTTAAAGTATAGTAAAGTTGAATTATTCAAAATTTTAATTAAAAAAAAAAAGAAAAAAAATACGTTGAAATTCAAAGTTATGCAGCTCAATGCATCAAACCCCACCAATATACATTCATATATGCATGAATCGAATAAAGTCGAGAATTTTCCGATAATATTTATTTTCTTTATTGACTTTTTTATTTTCTACATTTTTAAATTTAAAAAATTAATTATTTCCCATATAAGTCTAACCCACGTTGAGTGTGACAACTTTTTTCAAGGTTTATTTCGATACGTCAATTTTAATTTATTGTTTCACTTAAAAAGTACGAATTAGTTAAATTTAATCTACAAATTTGAAAATTCAGGTTTACTTCTGTACAACTTGTGACACTCCGAGTAAAAGAGATATACATAAATAAACTAAGACAACATCTGAATAAGACAAATTTTGAAAACAATATGACTAAAAAAGGCTTGAAGTAAATGAAAATTCTTGCATATACTAACATGGTGAACCTTTTTTTCGGTGGTTTAATCATAGGAATTTCATAGTCATAGTTAAGCATGATTTGATTGGAGCAATTATATTTTGTGTTAATTATGGGGATATAAGTAATGTGACCGTGTTGTACGAGAATACCGGGGCATTCAGGTGTCGAATCAAGATTCCGAATCTTGAGCATGTGTCGTTACACGACTTATGATATGAACCACGACTAAGGAATTTCCATACCTCAAGGTCCAATTACAAGGACGAGAGCCAAGAAACTACAACAAACCTTATACACTTATATTTATGTTATGATGAGCTCATTAAAGAAAATTCTAGAAGACGTTGGAGACCTTTCTTATATGTTGTGTAAAGTTGAACTTCAAGAAAGAGATGAATTAAATGCACTCTAAGTTGCATCTAATGAACTCAGTTGAATTTATAAAACTAGTCCAAAGATGACTAATAATCACATTTCATTCATTGCACTATTTAATTATAATTTAACTATTTATTCGTCATATTTAAGTTAGTTTTAAATATAGGAGTTAAAGGTTATATTATAACTCCATAGGTTACCATATTCCACCGTTAACTAGCCATTTTAATATGGACATTATGAGTATTTCTCATCTACTAGCCCATATTTAATTCGGGAGTTATGTATGAAATAGGTTAAGGTCGTAAAGACTATATAAAGCCTTCTTTTTGTTGAGTAGAGACATCAGATTTTGGAATTAAGAATAAAATTTCTATTTTAGCTTGGTTGAGAGCCAAGTTTTTTCTTTACAAATTCTTGGGTTTAGAACTTGTATGCTAGAGTCATTCAAGTGGTATTAATCAAACTTCCTGTAGAGTGATTCGAATCACGAGTTTTCTTTACTCTTGATCTTGATCATCAAGGTAATCTGTTCCATACTTTTCCTTAGGTTGATTTCTATATCAACTTATTTCTATTCTCGAGATTTACTTCCATACAACTTATTGTAATCTCGAGGTTTGTTGAGTAGTTCATTTTTTTTCACACGGTTTGCTACCATACTTTATCATTGCATCATAGATTTGTTACATCATATATTTTTAATCTATCTTCTAAAATACATTAATATTATAATATTAATTAATTCATATAACTAATCCAACCCAAAAATTATTTGCATTTGTTATAAATTTCTTGAATATTTATAATGATAAATATAGAGAGAATTTTAATATTTTGTTCATATATTCATACAAAATAAATATTAAAAAAGTAATGGTAGTATTAAAAATAAATTATCTATTCATAAATAATAGGTATAATTTATAAGAAAAATCTTATTATTTTTTAAAATTTTCATTTATGTATAAATTATTAAATAAATAAATAAAAGGCCAAAGAACATGAAGGTAAAATGTCGGTATTAAATTTAAAAATGTGTTTTATTTATTGATAATTGGAATTTCTTGCCACAATATTTGTAATATTCAAAGTCTATTTTTTTTAGGCCAATTGGGTTTACTTTTCATGCAATGTATTTAAAAAATATTAAAGCAATAATATTTGATTTTACATATTCAATAAATGACATAAAAAGTAGTCTAGTAAGTACAACTCAATGCATTCAAGAAAACTGTTGAATTCAAATTCTATAATGATTTATATTATTATATAAAATTTTGTTAATTAATTAAAATTCACGTTTTGGCTCGGGTGGCTATAGACGTACCCCATTCAAATCTCTCAATCCGAACGTTGCTGAAATTAAAAAATAAAAGAAAAATTAAATTACGCTTATTCACCCCAACGAATAATAATAAAATATATCTAATATAACTTATACTATTATGGTTTAAGCGAACAAGAATTTGGAAGGGTTGAGAACGAGGTTGAAAGAAAATTATCTTATTATCCGTTTAAATAGAGATTCTCCGCTCTATTTGAGAGAGGTCTCTACGGAGCTCTAATTTCACGAGTTAAAATAGCCTTTCTAATTATTTATATTTATTGGGATTTGGTTGCTTTTATTATTATTCGACCTCGTTTTATGTATGTCGACAGCCTAAAATAATAGTTTTTGTTTTAAAAATAATTTGTCAACTTTTAACTTCACTAGTAGGTCAATGCTAATGTGTCCCACATTCCACTTTCATACATTCTAGATAATAAAAATATTGTTAAATAATAATATCACCCGCTTTAATAAATATATATTTTTTTAATTCTGCTCTCGATCTAATAATTAAATAAATAAATTATTGAATTCACCATAATTGCAAGCAAATGAATTGGTTAAAAAACACGATTGAATCACTGAAAAGGAAGGTGCACATTGTTGATATAAGTAGTAACTTTCAATTATTTTAAGCTTTTATTAGCCATTTTATTTCAAAATTGCCTGTTATTCGTGTAACTCTTCATTAGTCGAGCGTCACAAAATATATCCCGTTCTTCTTTGAAATTTGATCCCTATCAACCTAGGTTTAAAATGGTTTCAAATCTGTTGAAAATTGTAAATTTTTTTTAAGGAAAGAATTTAGACATTTTTACCATTTATATGAAAGTCTATTGAATTTTACTTATTTTTCTATTTATTATATATAAGAAACATATTAATTTTTTTAATTAAAAAACGTTAATTTAAAGATAATTCAACTAGTTAAGACATAGTTTAAAATAAAAATTGTTCGATTACACTTAGGTAAATTGGGTTCGATTTGCCGGTTGACATTTGAATTTTATGAGATTTTAATTATTAAGGTAATTTTTTAATAATTAAAAAAATCAATAAGCTAATTAGTTTAGTAAGATTTTTTTTCAGACAATTAATTATAAATTTGAATGGAAATCTCCTTTTCCCTCTTTCGGAGCCTCTGCTGGAGCTGTCATAAGAGGGGAGGAGAAGTACGAAGGGTTTTTTTGTACGGATGCCGTCAACCTCCGCAGTCCGATGGATCCAATGCGGCTCAACGACAGCCAAGAACGAACACTTGATGGAACCTTGAATCTTAACGACAAAGATAGCGCGGGAAATTGTTGATTTACTTCTTCTGATGGAGTTCTGCAACTTAATTCTAATACTCATTCTGCTTGCAAGGAAGGCGAGTTTCATCTGTAGAAATCGTTGTTACGATGCAATCTAAGACGATTGGCCTCCTTTATACAGCCATTTCTACTTCAATTGTTGCGATTTTGGAAGGGATTGAGTTTGTAATACGAGTATGGGCGACCTAATTCATTGTGGAATCAAATTATCTTCCATCTATTTAGCCTCAATTTTGCTCGAGTAGAATCTATGGCCACTGCTATGTGGCGAAATCTCGGTCTAATGGCAGGTATGATTTGAACTTATTTCGAAAAATTTGAAGTTTAAATCGTGAATTGAGAGTTATAAACTAGTGTAATTTGCCTGTAAAGCTTATTTATGAATCTCTGAGTTCGTGCTGATTCAGTATATAGTTTGGATTGAGTGATTGGCGATTAGGCAAAGGAATGGTGGGTTAAAGATTGAATTAGATCAATGTTTTTAATGCCCCACCCTTGGTTTCAGCTTTCTATCTATCTTTAAAGTTAATTAGCCGACACCACCACACGCCACACCCCACCCTTGTTCATCAGCATGTGGGAATTGCCAATTGGTTGATTGGTTTGTTGGTTGTTTGTCTAGATGTTATCTAATTTTATTGAATGAAGAAATTCGTAGAGAACCGTCAAAATTTCAAACAGGTACGGTGAAATTGACTGTTTATTAACTTTTCCAACTGTAGTTTCCACTTCCAATACAAGCTCTATATGATTTTATTTTTTTTGGGAAAACTAGAAGCTCTTGCTTGAATTCTGCAAGTTTTTCCTGTTTGTTTTGTGATTAAATATTCCCATTTATACTTGCATGAACTGTAGACAATTGGAGAGGCCCAAATGTGAACGAACTGCCAAATCTTTCCTAAATAGGTATAAATGCAAGGACTCAAACATGGTGGGTTTACTGAAAAACTATTGGGGGTAAGTCCATTTTGGACTCAAGTGGTTGGCACATGTTGAGGCAAGCCTTATCTCTTTGCCAGTGGGCTCACAATCAATACGACGATAAGAAGTGGTTCCTAACACCGTCATTGTCAGCGACCATGTGAGCTTCAGCAAATTGGATCCTTCAAGTAACTCACGTGAAGGATATTTAGTGATTCACTTAATTAACCTCACAGTCTCCCTGTTTATTTCGAATTAGGCGAATCCATCATATGTAAGTATATTTTGAGATCATTTATCTATATCCTGTTCTTTTTTGTTCTTGTTTTTCTTTAATTATTGATTATTTATCTGCTTCAAGTAAAATGATGACCTTGAGATTTCAGCCCCTTTTTTGTTTGCTGGTAGGTAGGGCTAAGTGGGTTTCTGATATCTTTCTGAAAAAGTTGTAATCTTGCTAGAATCCTCGCTAGATTTCAGATTATGTATAGATTTCTTGTTGATATTTCCTGGTTTCGGTAAATGGTATTCTTGTATGACGTTTGTTGGGAAGAGTCATAAGTTTGTCTCAGATCTACTATAATTCTTGAAGCTGCTCCGATCATACTTCTAGAGTTCTTGGGCATTTTTCCCCTGTCTCTCTTTCTATCAGCTTGTGATTGTAAATTGTGCTCGTGATTGGTTTTAAGCTGTTGAGACAGCGTTGTCACCGTGTCCTAATTTGAGAGTGGTCAACTTGATCATCTGGGGTAGTTATGGCCCCCTTTTCCGTTGCCAGACGGTTTACTGCTTATTTCTCTACTGGAATCTTGTAGTTCATATTTTAAATTGGCTGCTTCTTCTGTGGTGTTTCTGATTTGTGATATGATTTAAGTAATTTTTGATCGGTTGTTATGAATTTGATTGACAGCAATTGGGGGGACCATGGAATCATTGTGGTTCTTCACATAGATTCAGATTTCTGAGATGTTGAGAAGGCTTTAACCTTTCTGTCACTGAAGTGGATGCTGGAAGCTCTGACTCCCCAAATATGGGTTGCAACAAGACCATAGTATGGTTTCGGAGAGACCTCAGGATTGAGGACAACCCTGCTTTAAATGCTGCTGCTAGAGATGGTTTTGTATATCCTGTGTACATATGGTGTCCTAAAGAGGAGGGACAATTCTATCCTGGACGGGTATCAAGGTGGTGGCTGAAGCAATCACTTGCCCATTTAAAACAGTCATTAAAATCCCTTGGTTCGGACCTCGTGCTAATGAAAACTCAGAGTACTATTTTCTCTCTTCTGGAGTGTATCAATGCTATTGGGGCAACAAAAGTAGCATTTAACTGTCTCTACGGTACGTATGTTCCTTTCTAGTTTCCTTCTCTTGCTTGAGATTTGATGGTCTTTTCAATTAGGAATATGCTAATGCACTTACTGATTGCAGTATGTTTATCATTGCCCTTGGGAATTCTGTGTAGTGGAATTGTCATTACATTGTAATGACATGGCATGCTCAATGTTCTTTGCAGCTGATTGAGTTGTAGTTTCGTAGTGGATCATCATGCTACTTTGGAATTTCCTGGGCACCTTACTTTGTGTTGGTGAACAAAATATTTGCATTTTCTACGACAAAAAAGAAAAAACTCCTGTAAATTTCTAGTGGTAAACCTTACCAAACTTGGTGTGGATAGATAACTTCATTACTACCCAGTTGGAAGGTTGGGGGATAAAATGTAGGAAAAGAGATTTCTCAAAATATGCATATCACCTAACAATTAGTTTGTCATGAAGTCAGCAGTTGTCTTCGCAGCAACACACAATATAAATCACCATCAGTTCAAGGTAGATATTGTATAAAATACACAAATCATGATAATCATTTTCACTTAACTGGTGGAGAGGAACCTTTGTAAGAACATAATTAATCTCATTTTATATCCTCCATGACAAGAGTGTTAGGAATCACGACCCTCCACAATAGTATGATATTTTCCACTTTGAGCATAAGCTCTCATGGCTTTGCTTTTGGCTTCCCCAAAAGGCCTCGTACCAATGAAAATATATTTTTTACTTATAAATCCATGACCATTCCTTTAATTAGCCGATGTGGGACTCCCTCCCAACAATCTTCAACAAAGAGTTGATTTCATTCTCAAGCAACCACATTTTGGAATAGGACCTAGTAAAATAAGGAGTTGTAACTTCTGCTTGATGTAAGGCCGAATAAATAGTTAAAGCAATTCTTCTTGCCTCTGTGGTTGGGAAAGTGCCTGTGTCAAACTACAGAGATACCAAGATCATTCTACTAATGGTTATCTTTTCATCTCAGATCCCATTTCACTTGTCCGAGACCACAATATTAAAGAAAAACTAGTTGAACTCGGAATTTCTGTACAGAGCTACAATGCAGATCTTTTATATGAGCCATGGGACGTATATGATGAAAATGGGAATGCTTTTACGACTTTCAAGGACTATTGGGGTAAATGTCTTCTTTTGCAGAAGGAATTTATTTCAACTCTCCCTCCATGGAAACTACAACATGCTGCAGGTACATTTCTGACAGTATATATGTAATTTCCGAATCATTCATCCTTGAAAATACGTTCTTTGATGCTTCTAGGATTGATATTTGTGATACTTTTGGAAGATAGATAGAAAGAATGAGGAGCTAGGTTGCTATTCTAACAAAATTTTGGAATTAACAGAATAGTACTGAAATACTTGTCGTATAGATATGCATGCAACTGCAAAGGAGCTTGTTGTGAAACTTTTAGAACTGTGTAGAGTATTGTCTTAAGAGCTTCTCTCCTGTTTTAATCTTGACAGGATCAGTGGGAAGTTGTTCCATTGAGGAACTAGGTCTTGAAAATGAATCAGAGAAATCTAGCAATGCATTACTAGCAAGAGCTTGGTCGCCAGGGTGGAGCAACGCAGATAAGGCTCTGGCTGAATTTGTAGAAAATCATCTGCTAGAATATGCGAAAAATAGGCAACAGCTTGGCGGTAGCTCGACATCTCTACTGTCCCCATACCTACATTTTGGGGAAGTAAGTGTCTGGAAGGTTTTCCAAAAAGTGAGAATGAAACAGATATTGTGGGCAAGAGAGGAAAACGCTGTAGGGGAACAAAGCACAAATCTGTTTCTCAGAGCTATAGGGCTCAGAGAGTATTCCCGTTATATATGTTTCAACTTTCCATTCACCCATGAGAGATCATTGCTGAGCAGCCTGAAGTTCTTCCCTTGGCATGCTAGCCAGAATAACTTTAAAGCTTGGAGGCAGGGTCGAACTGGCTACCCATTGGTTGATGCTGGAATGAGAGAGCTTTGGGCAACTGGATGGATACACAACAGAATAAGAGTGATTGTTTCTAGCTTTGCAGTTAAGGTTTTGCTTCTTCCTTGGAAATGGGGAATGAAGTATTTCTGGGACACTCTTTTAGATGCAGATTTGGAAAGTGATATCCTTGGTTGGCAATATATTTCTGGGAGTTTGCCAGATGGCCATGAACTTGAGAGATTGGACGATCCACAGGTATGTTTAGTTTCTTTAAACTTGAAAGCACTAATAGTAGACTACAAAGATCAAACCTACCTTTATGAACTCAAATGTCTTCAAGATTAAATTTCTAATTGTCAGCTATGCCACAATTGAACTGCTGTTGGAAGCATGTGGTAGATACTTAATAAAGAACAATAGGATAGGAATCACGACTCTCCACAATGGCTTTGCTTTGGGCTTCTCCAAAAAGCCTCATACCAACGGAGATGTATTTCTTACTTATAAACCCATGATTATTCCCTAAATTAACCAAGGTTGGACTCCCTCCCAACAATCTTCCCCTATGAACAAAGTACACTACACAGCCTTCCCCGAGGCTTATGGAGCCCTCGAATAGTCTCCTCTTAATCGAGGCTCAACTCCTTCTCTGGAGTCCTCAAACAAAGTACACCCTTTATTCAAAAGTTGACTACACCTTCGAGGCTTACGACTTTTTTGTTTGACATTTGAGGATTCTATTGACATGACTAAATTAAGGGCATGCCTCTGATATCATGATAGAAATTACGACTCTCCATAATAGTATGATATTGTCCACTTTGAGCATAAGCTCTCATGACTTTGCTTTGGGCTTCTCCAAAAGGCCTCATACGAATGGAGATGTATTCTTTACTTATAAACCCATGATCATTCCCTAATCTAGCCAACGTGGGACTCCCTCCCAACAATCCTCAACAAATAGAACAAGAGATATGCTTGAAATTCTTCCTAATATACATTTATCTGAAATTTAGAAACGTCTAAAATAACATATCTGATACCTTATACTGATAATATAGTTCAGTTTTTTATTCATAATTAAAGGAATAAGAAGATTATTGGCTGGCCAATTACAGTATCTTTATTTATATTTTTTTAAAAAAATCTGTTACGATGCCTTGTTGTACCTAAAATTATCAGTTAAACGTTATAGTCTCTACTTCCTTATCTCATCATGCTAACTCGACATTCTTGAATTTAGATTCAAGGCTCCAAATACGATCCAGATGGAGAATATATTAGACATTGGCTGCCTGAGCTAGCACGAATGCCAACCGAGTGGATTCATCATCCATGGGATGCACCTCAGACTGTCCTAAAAGTTTCAGGAGTTGAGTTAGGTTTAAACTATCCTACACCGATAGTTGACTTAGACTTGGCTGCTAATCGATTGAGAGAATCCATAATCAAAATGCGGGAAATTGAAGCAGCTGCTGGGGCAAACTCAAATGGTACAAATGAAGTTGTTATGGATAATGCAGATAGGATTCAATCCTTGGGTACTGCAAATGTTGTAGCAGAGCCAAAAACCTGTGCTACTTATTCTTCTAATGATCAGAAGGTACCCATGATTCAAACTTCAAAGGTTGATAATCCATTGAGTAGGAAACGGTCTAAGCCTATGGAAGAGAAAGGAGAATTTCAATATAATATTCGCAACAACGTACAAAGTGAAGCTGGGACGTCGAAACCAGACGAAGATTTATGCTCTACTGCTGAATCTTCATCATCTAAGAAGCCATCCACCAGCAGAACTTCCTTTTCTGTTCCACAGTTTTGTTCCTCATCAAAAGGGCTGCCAGAATCATCTGAAGGAACTACTGATAGATGAGACTTCAATTAATGATAGTGAGTTTCTACATTACCTCAGTTGTTTTACAGAAGCTAATGATTGAATGCTTATCACAATGCGGTTTTAAATTGTGATGGCTCAAACCCACCGCTAGCAGATATTGTCCTCTTTGGGTTTTCCTTTCAGGCTTTCCCTCAAGGTTTTTAAAACATTTGTTACAGTCCAAGCACACGCAGATATTGTTCTCTTTGAATTTTCCCTCAAGATTTTTAAAATACGTCTGCTCGGGAAAGGTTTTCACACTCTTATAAAGAATGTTTTGTTCTCCTCTCCAATCAATATGGGATCTCACATAAATCTTCTTGGATTATATCTTAGGCTCGCATTCTGGATCTTGAAACTTGATTTTACTCTTGGATTTCATCTTTTCTGATTTGTTTGACTCCATATTTTCTATGAAATTCATGCAGGAACTTCATAATGATAATGGTTTCACATCTGGGCAATGGATCTACCTCAACGATTGTTGGCTTGTGCGTGCCGATGTTTGGTACACTTTTTGATCTCTAAGGTACTGAGTTTAGATGCCTTCTTTCTGTACATATAAACTTACTCATAAAACATAAAACTGTGCACAACTTTATTCGCAAATTTGTCCAAATATGTGCAGTTTCCCTTCGTAATTCCTTCAAGTTCTCTCGAGTATCTTGACCATGGCATGTTATTGAAGCATGTATCATTCAAATTTATGTGGTTACTCTTAGGATCTGATTTTAGTCCCCGTAACTGAGAAATGCGATATATTTCCTTCGTTTGATAACTATTTGGTCTTCGATCTTTGAGAATTAAGTTTTCAAGCACTATTTCCACCTATTGATTTATTTGTTTTGTTATGAACTATTTTCAAATTCAAACCGAGTTTTGAATACATATATTTGTTTTTGGAATTCGAATTAGAAAAAAACATTTGAAAAAGTGAGTATAATTTTTAAAAACCAGTTATATCAAATTTAACAAGACTTCAAACATAGATGAATGATAAACTCATTAGGGACAAGTGTGTTTATAAGCTACAAAGATTAAATGTTAACATCATAAGAATTGACATTTAAATTTGAAGGGAACTTTAAGAAAGGGATTAAATTATTGTTGTATCGATATGTTTAAACGTGATAGAACATGCCTCTAGAATTCTATTCGATGCATCCAATAATAACTTTTATACAACGATTAAAAGGTCAAAGATTTAAATTCTCTCTATCTGTTGAACTAAAAATATAGATATTTTTACGGTCGATAAAAACTTAATATAGTTGAATATTTTTTGGAATAAAAAAGCGATTTAAGAGGACAAATTTGAGAATTAGAATAAAATATTCAATCTTATGTCCTTTATAAGGAAAATATAGATACTTATTTTATAATTTATTAATAACTCCGATTCTATCAACCAAATAAGCGCCCATGGCCTAATGGATAAGGCGTCTGACTTCTAATCAGGCGATTGTGGGTTCGAGTCCCACTGGGCGTGCTATTTTATCTTTTTTCGAAAAATATTTGTAAATGATCAGACGGGGGAAGTTCCAATGCCATTGTCATCCCCTTGGTTCTCCCCGGTCAACTCCTCCAAAGATTTGCCTTTGGATTCCGGCACTAACAGAGTAAACAAAGCTCCCAAGAAATTAATGCATCCCAACACAATCAAAGCATTCTTAACGCCGATCCCCGTCGGGTACCCCGGCTCCGTCATCGCCGGATCCTTACTCTGCGCCGCATACAAAAACCCAAACGCCCCCACTATCGCCCCTGCCTTCCCTGCCGCCGCCGATATCCCATGGCAAGTCGACCTCAACCTCGCCGGAAATATCTCCGCCGGCACTATAAACGTCGTCGAATTCGGCCCAAAATTCGCAAAGAAAAACGTCAGCGAATACATCACCACAAACCCAATTCTGTGCGGCTTCTCCTTCCAATGATTGTATGGAAAAGCCAGAGCAAACATGAAAATCGTCATCATTATGAACCCCATCAATTGAATCACGAATCTCCCTATGTAATCGATGAACACCACCGTGAACCAGTACCCGGGAACCGTCCCGCACAGGGCAATTAGTGTCTGTGCGCGTGCGATTTTGAAACATTCTTCTAATTCGCTCATTGTTGCCGCCGGTGGAAGCCATTCGATGGCCGTGAAAATGTCTTTTTGGAAGAGGTTTTGGCTGTAAAACGCTATGTCTAATAGAAACCATGTGGTGGTTGTCCCCAATAAATGGAGCCCATGGCGTTTCGCGAATTTCTTCGAGAATAAACCGAAACGGTTAGGATTTTGATTTGATTCGGTTGTCGGTTTTTCTTCTTCGGCTTCGAGGTGGACTTGCAGCACTTTTGACATGTCGGCGGCGGCTTGTTTTGCGTTTTGGGCCACCAGAGCGGTGTATCTCGCCGTCTCTGGCATTTTCATCCGCCAGTAGTATGTTATCCCGGCCGGAATTGCGCCGAACATTAGAACGATTCGCCACACGTAATCCGCCTCCGGAATTGTGGGGCGAGAGGGATTTTCGCTGTAGGGTGGTGCAGGGAAGCGGTTGTTGAAGGCGGTGGAGACTACCAGAGCAACGATTCCTCCGACTAAAATTCCGAACCCCTGCATTGCGAAGACGGCGGCGATGAATGCGCCGCGGGTTTTTTTATTGGCGTATTCCGACATTATAGTGGCGGAGAGAGGGTAGTCGCCGCCGATTCCGAAGCCGAGCCAGAAACGGAAGAAACAGAGGGTGGAAATAACGGCTTTTGGGGAGTGGCTGAAGGAGAGGCCAGAGGCGATGGAACAGAGGACCATGAGAATGAGGGTAATGCCGTAGACCCTTTTCCGGCCAAGTTTGTCGCCGAGCCAGCCGAAGAAGAGTTGTCCGGCGAGGGTGCCGCAGAGGGCAACGCCGTTGACGGCGGCGGCGACGTTGGGGGGAAGAGATCCGGGTCTGGGGGAGTTTTGGATATGGTAATAGATTCGGCCGAGGAGTTTGGTGACGATGGAGATGCAGAAGAGGTCGTAGGCGTCGGTGAAGAAACCCATTCCGGCAATGATGATTGCCGTGAAATGGTACCATTGGGTTTTTGCAAGATCGAGTGCGCTTAGCACTCCCAGTTGTTGGCTCATCTTAAGCTTTTGGCTATGGAAGATCTCCGATCAATCTTTCTCCTCCTCCTCCTCCTCCTCCTCCTCCTCCTCCTCTCCGGTCAACTGAAATTTAAATTTTAAATTTTGAAAAATTAAATTTTGCAGAAGAGATACAAATAATATTTATAAAAAAGTAAGCTCTATAGGATTTGAATTGAACTCCTCTTACGATTTACCGTTTTTATCGATTCGAAAATATATAGTGAAGAAGACCATCCGTTACGCTGGTTAAGATATTAAGTTTTCAAGATCGTTTGAATTCTCACTCTCGTGTATGATCAAACTAAGAATAATAAAAAAAAAAGCTAATTCTAATACTTATTACTCATAATTTTCAATTTCAGAAATATATTTTTTTAAAACAATAAGATCTGCAGAGAGAGAAAGAGAACCTGAAATTTCTGGAAAAATGACACAATGGTGACAAGAAAGCTTAGATGATGGGACGAAGAAGATGAACATAAAACGGCTATTTTTATAAGTGAGGCTGTCCAAATTCCAGAAATGCCCCTGATGGCATCTATTGGAATATACCAATCAAAAGTCTATTTTTGTCTCTTTCCATCCCTATTTCTTAATTGTAAATTGGAGGTTCGATATTAGCATTTTGTCGACATATAAATCGATGTATTGTAGAATTGAAGTCTCAATGTTGATATGTTGCTGACATCAAGTCAACAAATGTATCCATAATAGAAAAGAATACAATTATTTACTAGACAGACATGTCTTCAAATTGACTAAGTTTATTATTATTTTTTTCCATACAATCAAACAAAAAACAAAAAACAAATCAACACCCGACACTTGTTCGGTGTTGCTTGAGTGAAATGTCTTTCTACTTCTATATTCAACAAAAACAAGACAACAAAACAGAAGGGTTTGTATTTTCTTTCGTGACATGACAGGAAGATCATGACAAATACTGACAGTGCTTGATCAGAGATTGAAGGTGAGGGAGAGGAAGACGAGTCGGAAGGGATAAAAGAGACACAAGAGGGAGAAGATCGGGAGAGAAGGGAAGAGTATTTGAGAGTGAGCTTAAGGAAAGAGAGTACAATCCAACCTTAATTGAACTTTGACTTGGTCAATCTTAAATTTTCAACGGGACTGACGTGAATGAATTGCTTAATGGGTATATTGTAAAACAATAATTTGAGTTGATATGTATTTACTTAATTTTGAACGTTCAAGCAACCCAAAAGTTGACTTCAAAAAGTCAAGATAGTCTTAAAAAAATACAAAATCAAATATTTTTTTTTCTTATTTAACTATATTTCCGAGGTTGTTCGTGGGCGAGACATCCAATGTTCCATGCATAGCTATAACCGTCCAAGCCCACAACTAATAGATATTACTATTTTAGCATGTTACGTATTGCCGTCAGCTTCATAATTTTAATACACGTCTGTTAGGGAGAGGAGTTACACACCCTTATAAGAAATGTTTCGTTCCTCTCTCCAATAGCCGAGAAAGAAGGGTTGATGAACGTATTTGTTTCAAATGGCCACCATGAAAACGAGAGCCTATCTTCCTTAAATCTTATATATATTGAAAAGGCTTTGGGCCAGCATGACTCTGGGCTGATTAGCCCAATTCATTAAACTGGGCTGAGCTAAGGCCCAAGACCAGTAAATTAACGGGAAATAGCAATGAAAGCGAGAAAAAAAATTCCAAAAAATATAACTCCAAACATTTTTTTTTTTTTTTTTAATTTAACGTACATGAAATCATTTATAACATCATAACACGTGACTTGATATAGTAGCTGATGTGACTAAATTAACTACGTAAATGATTTTAATGACATTTTTACAAATAAAATAAATTAAAATGATCCGTTACCGTATAATTGGTACCCGACAATATTTTTCTTTTATTTAAATAATAAGAATATATACATTAATAACAAAAAAAAAAAAAAAAAAAAGTTGAAAGATTTGGATAGAGATTGATAATGTTTTTATTTGAAATACCTTTATTCCAAGAATAGTCATTTAATTTGAGTCCATTTGCATCATTGTCCACTATGAAAGGACCAATCTCTTGTGTTGCTCCATAACCCACAGAGGAGCACCCAGGACCTGAAACCCAACCAAATAAACAAGAATCGTTTGTCACCTCACCTCAGAANAAACTATACAAAATCTTGAAAACTCTATTAATAAATGAGCGTAATATTGAAAATGTTGATGACGGAGGTGTCTGTTTTTTTAATGAATCAACCAAAATTTATGATGTTCTTCTGGTAAAAATGGGAAGAGGTTGAGACGGTGGAAAAAATTGACTATGGCCGGAGATTCTCCGACGACTCTAGAAGTTCTTCCAAATAATCAGGCCCAAGATCTTCCAAAACAACCACATTATTCTCAATCGTTCCACTCCCATCTCTTTCTTTGCTCTTTCTCCTTGTGAATTTCTTCCTCATCGAGTGTTTTCTCTTCAGCGCCACCACCGGAGATCCGCCGTCGCCGCCGTTTTCACTGGAGTTTATCATCTCCATTTCCTTCAGCGATTCCTGAACTCTTTCCACTGGAAAATTAAGAACGGCGGTGGAACCCCTCATTGAAAAAGCAGCTTGATCATAGGCTAAAGCAGCCGCCTCGGCACTGTCGAATGTTCCGAGCCAAACCCGAGCCCCATTTCGGGTCGAGTCCCGTATTTCCGCCGCGAATTTTCCCCATGGCCGGCGGCGGACTCCTCTGTAGCATTTTCGCTTGTGGGGTTCTTCTTCTCCGAGGGAATCGACCTCCTCGTCTTTGATCGGAGCCTGCCGGAGGGAAATCTCCGGTGGGTACCCGGCAGCCTCGGAGATTAAGCTGTGAAGGAGCATTTCGCCGGAATCATTCTCGTTGAAGGGCAGAGAGTTGTCGTTGATTTGGAAACCTTCCCATAGCAGTGATTCGAAGGAGCCGAAGGAAGATTCCGGCGAGAAATCGGCGTTTTGGGAGTGAAAGAACGAAGAATTCATTGAAATTTTGGAAGAAATGATGAAGGGGAATTGTGATTCATGAAAGGAGGCGGCTATTCCTCTGTTTCTTTCGGACAGGGAGATGGCTCCATTGCTTTAAATAAATACCAAATGGCACAGTAATTGGAAAAAAAAAAAAAAAAAAAAAAATCCCTAAAATCATACATCTCACCATCCACCTCTCTTCTCTTGGTCAATCTCTTCAGGTCTAATAGTCTCGTTGGGACACCGTGCATCCACCCCTTCAAATTCACCATTTTCGGAGGCTAGCGTCCTCACTAGAACACTGAACATCCACCACCTTCTTTGAAGGCCCAATGTCCTCGTTGGGACACCAAGCATCCACCCCTCATTCATCCTCGTTGGGGATACAGTGTTCTCGTTGGGACATCGCTTGGTGTATGGTTTTGATATCATTTGTAACGATCTAAACCCACCGCTAGCAAACATTGTCCATTTTGACACATTATGTACTATTGCTTAAATATACTAGAGAGAGATTTCCACACCCTTGTAAAAAATACTCTGTTACTCTCAAACGAAGGTGGGTTCTCACACTACTATTTTGATCTATAGGATTAGAAACAACTAAACCTTTAAAATTTCTTCCATTTTTGAGTCAACCTCAAGATGTCAAACAACTCTACGATAGACCCATCAACCTGTTATCTCGACATACCTTCAAGTCATTGAAGGATGTCAAATATCATTTACTTTTAATATTGATTAAGAATGATATAATAATTTAATTTGAAAATGGGATTTCTTGGGAGATACACCAAGAAACAAAGCTTGGAAGGGTAATTGGAAAACGTGGTCAATAGGGAGGTTTGAAAAGAAATTATAAGGGGTAGTGGCCAAGTCAAAGTGGAAGAAAGGAAAATGATGACGTCAGCTGATGACTTTTTGTTTTCCTTCTTAGATTCGTTGTACACGTGTGATTGGTTGGTGATGACGTGGCGTTCATGTAGACCAATAGTTGTTTGGATGAGGAAATTCTTTTTAAGTGACGGTTAAGAGGGAGCATGTGATCCTCAAGTGAAACACACATTCCAAACTTTCTAGAACCCCCTCCCCCCTCTCTATCACGTTATAAATCGAGTTCTCGAGATAGAGTGGATCTGCACGAGTTGATTGAAAAAAGGGTATTATGAGTATACATCGAGCTTAAGGTTCGATCGGGTTGACCTTGACAATAAGACCAGGCTCAGAGTGTGCTCTAGGCCTTACTGGGTCTAGTCAGCCTCGACCAACCTGTGCGTTCGAGGTTCACTTAGGCTAGTCTCATATCTTTGGTATAGTTTGGGCTCGATTTCACCCCTAACAAAAAGTATGACTAGGGAGCTGTAATAGCTCAAGTCTACCGCTAATAGATATTGTCTGCTTTGGTCCGTTACATATCATTATCAGCCTCATGGTTTTAAAACGCATCTATTAGGGAGAGATTCACACACGAATGCTTTGTTCCCCTCTCCAACTAATGTGGGATCTCACAATCCACTCTCATTGGGGCCTAACGTCCTCACTGGCACATCGCTCGAATTAATATCATTTGTCACAGCCCAAACCCACCACTAGCAGATATTGTCTATCTTGACCCATTAAGTATCTCGTCAGCCTCACAGTTTTGAAACACATCTATTAGGGAGAGGTTTCCACACCTTAATAAGAAATGATTTGTTCACCTATCTCTCACAATCCATGAGGCTGATGATGATACGTAACGGGTCAAATCGGACAATATCTGCTAACGATGGATTTGAGCTGTTACAAATGATATCAGAGTCAGTCACTGAGCGATGTGCCAGTGTGGACGGTGGGCCTTTGGGGGATAAATTGTGAAATCCCACGTTGGTTGGAGACGGAAACGAAACATTTCTTATAAGCGTGTGGAAACCTCCTTCTAACAAATGCATTTTAAATCCGTAAGATTAAAGGCGAAAGCGAACATTTGTTAAGTAGAACCGCATATATTAGCATACTTTCTTGCTTTCATTGTCAATGAGGAAAATTTGAAATAATTGTAGAGAGAGAGAGATGATTTACCAATTGCAATATTCCTCACGTCTCTTATCCTACTTTATGTGTAGCAAAAAATTGGTGGTTTCATGTAAAACGAGTACACAAATAATCAAGAATTGCTGCCTAGATATCCATTATTGATACCTAAAAGCATAACCCAAATAAAAAGATCAACACTTCAAAGTGTTCATACCAAAAAAACAAAACAAACCCTCTTCTAGAACCCTAATTTCTCTTCAAAATCATTGTTCTTTCTAATCACATTTGAAAATTCCTCAAATGGGTAGACTTGATTATCCAAATACAGCCCCCCTTCAAGAACTTCCTGTCTCTCTCCATTTCAAAAGCTTTCAAAGTGATGCATTTTTATCTCTCAACTCGCATGCCCTCTAAGAAGAAAGCGAGAGGTCGAAAACGACCCTTCAAATCTATAAACAGTGGAAGAGCATCTCTCAAATGGATATTGGATCGCTTCTCTTTCTGCGTCTCTTTCACAAATCTTAGATTTATTAACCAGAGTCTTTTAATACTTTCTCTACTACTTTAAATTCGATACGAGAATCTGTTTTCCTCTTTTAACGAGTAGTTCTATGTCAAGAATTTTAAAAAAAAAAAATCCCGACCTCCAAAAGAAAATAAGCTGAGGATTGTTGCTACATTCTTTTTGGTAAGTATTTGTCATAAAAAAATAAAATATTTACCCAATGATATTTAAAATTATCAATAATTTAAAGGTTGGTAGCCATCTAATCATAATTAGAGGATTTATAATTAGCCATCAAAATTGTTAGAGATTAGTCTATTCTTAATTTTTATTTATTATTATTATTTTTTGACGTTTGGAGGGTTATTCCAATGATTAAATATTGTATATCTATGTTTAAATAAGAAAATAAAAATAATTAAAAAAAATAGACTACGTGGATAGCCAACGTGGCAATGAGTTGAAATTTTTAGGGTTTCAAAGTAGTCTTGAAAATGGGCTTTGAGGAAACTTCTTTTAACATGTCAGCATTTCTTGCTTCATTTTCCCTTGGGAGGAGACAAAATCACAAAACTATGTGTTTCTCTCTCCTCTTGGCTGCCACGTCATATCATTATGGGTGAGAAAATGACCACCCATATGAAGTTATGTAATTAAAATATATATCTCATTTGGATCCTCGAATACATTCATATTAAAATGTCTATTATTGAGCTCGTTACTTATTACTTCGTTCTTCTTTTTAATTGATGTAAGATCTCACCATCTATTTCTTTTGGAGCCTCGGTGTCTGGCTCTGATACTATTTATAAGGGCTCAAAGCCACCGCTAGCAGATATCACGACACTAACAATATAGAACATATCTATAAAAAAAATTAAAAAAAAACCTAAATTTTTAATTAAAAGAGTAAAATTGAACTTTGCTTTTACTCTTCTATTAATTACTTAATTAATGAAAAAGGAAATTGTGGGGGGTAATTTCTTGATTTGAATAATCAAATATGGTGTTTTGTTTTTGTGGTGGGCCAAAAATTAAAAGGAAAAAAAGTATATATTATAAATATATATATATATTGGCAAATTTCTTGAATCACATGTGACCTAATATTTATTTATTTATTCAAATATTCTTTTAGTGAATAAAATAAATATAGCCACCAACCTTATAAATACATGAAATGAAAATTCTCAGTCTTGACCAGTCAACTTTTTATTTTTTACTTTTGAATTTATTGGATAATAATTTAATGATCATAAGTTTCCAAATTTTTAAATTTTTGTTCTTTAAAATTAAATATCAAATTGTATATATTTTTTTAAAAAATTTGGTGTTATGAGACAAAATAGTAAATTGATTGAGGTTGAGGAGCAAAATTTTAGTTTAAAATATAGTGTAGAGACAAGCAAGTTCATCAAATTGGGAAAATTAAGGATGAAATTATTGGTTTTTTTTTTTTGTCTGACTTTTTATTGTTAGGCAAGTGATGATGTATATTGATACAAAGTAGATGGGCGGATTCAGTTTATTTGCACTATGCTTTTCTCGTCTTCAACCTACCTAACTTAAACGTTTCGGATACTATATAATATGTGTCTAAAATCTTCATGTTTCGATAAAGCTCTTTCTGTGTTGTCAAGTTCACACTTGTTAAACGACTTATGTGATCGAGATATAGATTCATAATCTCAAATTAACATTCTAGAAACCCTAATAATTTTTCTAGTATCGTTACGTATTACCATCAGTCTCACAGTTATAAAACGCATCTACTAGAGAGAATTTTTCATACTCTTGTAAGGAATACTTCTTTCCCTTCTCCAACTCTTTGGGGCCCATCTTTCTCATTGACACACCGCCCGATATCTGACTTGGATACCATTTGTAACAGTCCAAGCCTACTGCTAGTAGATATTATCTGTTTTGACCTGGTAGATATCGTTGTCAGCCTCACGATTTTAAAACGCGTCTATTAAGAAGAGGTTTCCACACTCTTATGAGAAATGTTTCGTTATTTTCTCCAACCAATGTGGAATCTTACAATCCCCTATATAACAATACTGAATGTGAAGTATGCTCAAACTATTTGTTGGAACTGTGTTTAGGGTTTTATTAGCGTTTCTTTAGTTGAATGTCTGTAATTTGATAGTCGTCTTCTTCACTCGTTCGTATTCAATTTCATTGTTCTATCACTTAGAGCGTTAGATCGTAAATTATAATTTAATTTCTTATAAAAGAATTACGATTGGGTTACCTAATTCCACTTAATCAAATTAAAGTTTTAATTTTTATTATAATTTCCAAACTTTCCAATTGTTAAAAAAAATCGTATATTTTTTTTTAATAAAATGATTAATGAAATTTCTCGTAACATTATTTACAACATCATTTCGACATTACGAGTACATAAAAATTAATTGTTTATGATGTTCTACATGAGTGTAATCACTTATATTTGCTAGTTTGAATATGTCAATATCAATTATATGAGTTAAAATGTCTAAAATATCCAATGTGTAACGACCCATACCCAGGATTCAAAATTCGGATTGACATCTAATTACCCGATATTTTTTTGTATCTCTTGCGACATAATCCTGTTACCTACTCCTAATTTCTTAAGAGTGAAAACTATTCTCAGCACGAGTTCTTCTACCATGTTTTATCTTTACTCCAAATAAGATAAGCTTAACCATAAAGTTTCTAGAATTGAGTCACTAAAAAAGAAAATGTACTTGTTGGTACAAGAAGTGACTTCACTGTCATTCGATTGTGGTCTCGATTCATTTATATACCTCTTATTACGAGGTATTTAAATTAAAATTGGGAAGCCACAAGTGGTTTTAAAATGCCCCTCATGGACCCACATCCCTCCATCACACAAATAACCTAATTAAATGAACCAAATATAATTAAACAATGTTATTAACCATAAAGAGGAATTAGTAAAAGGAAAGTGATGTGGAATATATACTATGATATGACTCCTAAATCTTAGCTAGATTTTGT